AAATGGGCCATGTCGTTTTGAATGTAAAACAAAGACTACAGCCGAAACCGGTTTGGCTCAGTGGATAGAGTGTCGGCCTGCAGACTGAAAGGTCCCAGGTTCGATTCCGGTCAAGGGCATGTACCTGGGTTGCGGGCACATCCCCAGTAGGAGATGTGCAGGAGGCAGCTGATCGAAGTTTCTCTCTCATCGATGTTTCTAACTCTCTATCTCTCTCCATTCCTCTCTGTAAAAAATCAATAAAATATATTTAAAAAACAAACAAACAAACAAACAAAAAAAAAACAAAGACTACAGTTGAAAATGGAGACACTAAAGCCACCTGTGGCCCCGGGGGTGGAAGTTCTCTGCCTGGTGAGGTCATGTGCCAGGTGCCCTCTGCTAAGTTGTATGAAAAGAAGTGCAGCTCTTGTTTTTTTTTTTTTAGTGCAGCTCTTGTTTTCTTTGGAGAAAATGGCTTTATTATTTTGTGTCTTGTTTAAAAGAGGGATTTGAGTTGTGGTGAGACTAGCAAACTGAGACTAGCTCTGTGGGAATGTTCCTCTTGGAGACGTTGCCATTTCATCTGGGACTTTGTGAGATGTTGGGTACAATCTCCCTGGTGTCCACAATGCAGCCTTGAGTTGGGGGGACCCTACTCCCTCAAGAACTGGCAATTTGGGGATGTTGAGAGCCAGCACCTTTGGCTTGAGTTCAGACCTGCCTCTTGCTGTGAGCATTGTCAGAGATGGCTTTAGTCTGTCTCCTTAAGTGGCACTGAGGGGCAGGGGGCGGGGGACATGGGAACTAGGCCAAGCGTTCAAGTCTTTCCAGCAGGGCTCCCTGGCCCCACTGACCCTGGAATTAACAGGATGTCCCCCTTTACCCTCAACCAGGGCCAAGGAGGTGTGTGTAAACTGTATGGCACTAGTGCCATTTTCTTTGCGGGGGTTTGGGGGTTGCAAGGGTGTTTGGAGACTGAGGATCCTGAATCAGTTTGGAGGTAGAAGGACCAAGGGGGTGTGTGAAGGTAGCAAGAGAGCACCAACGTTTGGGGAGCACCTAGAACTGGGGCAGTGAACACAGAAGAGGGGAAGCACAGCTTTCTCCTCCTTGACCCAGAATGAGCACAGCCCTCAGAGAGAGCTCTTGCCAGCACCTCACTCTGGCCAAAGGGGCCCCTGTGCCAAAGCAGGCAGGCACGTGGGCAGTCTGGAAGCAATGTTGGTCAGCAGTGTCCAATGCAGGAGGGATCCCACCCGGACCCGCCTCACTCTCATGATGCTCTCGTGCACCCGGAACCCGCCTCACTCTCATGATGCTCTCGTGCACCCTGGCTGCAGCAACTGCCTCTGTGTTCACAGCTGCCCAAACGGCCTCCAGCCCAAATCTCCCTCCTCAGTCCCAGACCAGCATAGCCCACTGCCTCCTGACTGCCCCTCTGGATGTCCCATGGTTCCTCAGACTCAGCATCCTTTCCAAATACACGCCCCCATCGTATCCCCAAAGGAGAAAACCATCCAGGACAAACGAATAGGACCCAGGAAACAAGGTTTCGTGGGACATGCAGAGACGCTCAGAGGGACTGCACTGCCTTTTTGGAGGTGACTCAGGGACAGTGTGAAAGGCCAGGGTCAGCATTAACCTCTTCCCCCTTCCCGATGAAGGTGTGTGACTCTTAGCTTCTTGTCCCTTCTCATACTCTTTGCCAAACTGTATTTAAATAATTATTTATGTAATTATTTAATGTCAGCCTCTCCTGGTTTAACCTTAGGGCAGAGATCATGGCCCCTTCTCTTCTGTGTCCCTGATGTCTACCCAGTGTCTGACATAGGAGAGATACTTAATAAATATTTGTAGAATGAATAAATGAATGTTCTTGTTCATCACCCAAGATGCAGGTCCCTCTCGGGGCCCTCAGTCTTTTCCTGCATTCCTAGCCCTTTGATGCTCTGTGCTTCATCCCCCCAACCTAGCCTCCCACTGGCCTTTTCAGATGCTCTCTTGCCCTGGATTGCTTCATGCAAGGTGCGTGGTGAGCTCGCCATACTGGACCATCTGCAATGAGAGGCAGTGGATACTCCTGTCAGAGTGCCCTGAGGGTAGGGCACTGATCCATGCCTGGGGTGTGGAAATGTGTGGTTTTCTGTATCGTTACCCATGAAGCAAGGCCCCCAGGATGCCTGAGGTCACAAGGGTAGGGCTTTCTCTACCAGTAGCCCCAAGCCCCAAGTGCTGGGGACTGTGCAAGGGGTTGTAAGCCAGCCTGCCAGGACTGGTGAGCGAACCTTGGCCACCCACTCTGTGTGCCATGGCCCCACGTCCCAGAGCTGCTGGTGAGAGGAAGCAGCTGGAGATCCCGGGTGGCCCGGCCTGGGATTGCTGAGTCAGCCTGCAGTTGTGAGTGGGAAGGTCCGGGCATGATCTCCAGCCAGCTGCTTCTACCCATCCAGCCCCCACTGCCCAGGAAAGGATCTGACAAACCACAGAAGTAAATAAATAACTTAGAAATAATAAATAGGGGTCCAGGTCCTAGGAGTGAGTACCAGGCCGCTCCACCATAGGCACTTCAGCAATGCGACTGCAGTGTGTCGCCTCCCATTCTGTCCCCCCAGGCCTGGGAGGAGGCTGGGACCGCAAACTCTGCTGGGTTCTCCAGAGGAGGAGTCCTGGCTCCGTGGCCTGCTCAGTGCCAGAGTCTGTGCGAAGCGATCCTAAGGTCTCCGTAGCCGAGGTCTCTGGTGTCTGTAGGGCTGGGACTAGCAAGGTGAGGACTGTGGTCCCTCATCCTCCAGGGCTGATGCCCATCACCAGCCCGGCTGAGGCCTCTGGTGTCCATCTCTGGTTGAGGCCCGTGGTCCCTTCCAGGCAGGAAGAGTCCCCATGTCAGGGTGCCATCCGCAAATCCTTGGAGAGAGCTCTCAGCCCACGCAGTCGCAGGCAGTGGCTGAGAGCCGGTCCACCGTCCTCCAGGTGCTGTTGACATCCATGAAGGAGACAGCCTCGTAGCGCGTGGGTCGGCAGCAGGGCTGCCTGACCGGCCCGGAGCCGGGAGGCAGCTGCAGGGCCCCCTTGCGCAGC